ACTTGAGACGTGTTTCGAGAGTGGATCCACCAAAAACTTAACATAGGATATACACAGTGTATTGCAGAATGAGGTTTTACCTGTAACATTTCGAATCATGAGCATATTTTGCTCACAGCAATTCTTAAAATTTCTTCTATGTCTGTCAGAAATTATTATACATGATATAATCTAACAAAATAAAGGGGGCAATATAACATGCAACGTTTATACAGGGGGAGAGTACGTTATGTTAAGACGATTTGAGAGCCTCGCTACTTCATTACAGGCCATATCGCCACGTCCGGTCATACTCTATCTGACAATCATGCAACTTGGCAATAGCCCTGCAGAGTACTTTCCATTGCAAAAAAAATTCTGTCACAAGATTGTTATGTCCACAGCACACTACTCACCCCAGTTGCCTTCTATAATCTATCCACTGTACGAAGACAAGGGTTTCCTTGCATTCGTTTCAACAGTCTGATCTCACAGAAATTCATAGGGTCTGCACCTGGTGATTTGACTTGCATGTCTTCTGTTCGACATACACGACTGTTTCAATTTAAGTCTATTGCGAGTGTTAAATTTAGTTATTTTCAGAAGCGAAAGTTTATCGCAAGTTTACGAATCATAGGTTGTGTAGTTCAGTTGTGAAGTGGTGATTGTTGCATTATTGCGTCATGTTACGAGAACCTTTTACGTTTCTCATGTTGTTTTAATTGAGTATTATTGCATCATAATATCTCTCAGTATGTGGAACATTCTAGGCCTCTGTCTGGCTATAAATACGCGTCCAAAATGTAGTACGAATTAGTCAGATAGTTAGATCTAGATTGCGCAGTTGTGAGTTTAGTTGTAAAGAGCGTTTAGTGGCGATTTCTAAAGTGCAATTATCACAGACTGTATTGTAATAACAGAGCAGGAAGAATAATTTGTCTTGTCAATTGTGTTCTAAGTTAACTGAACCAGCCTGTGTGGACTTTGACGAAAAAGAGGCTCATTTAAAGCTCTAGATACAACTATGGTAACCAACAGTTATAGTGGTGATTTTAAAGCGAAATTATCACAGACTGTATTGTAATAACAGAGCAGGAAGAATAATTTGTATTGCCAATTTTGTTCTAAAGTAACTCAATCAGACTGCATGCACTTTGACGAAAAAGAGACAATTATTTAAAGCTCTAGATACAATTGTTATAACCAGTAGTGTAATGAACATTTATATACGTTTGACTTGTTTTAATATATTATTTTACAACCAGTGAAGTGTGTTGTTTGTTTATTGTTGAAATTTATCGCCAACAAGTCACAGACAGCTACTGTAAAGAATCCGGCCCATACAATAAAACCTGACATCTTCGTATGGAATAGCATGAATGCCAGTTTCATTCTCCAGCTGTTTGAAGTATGCGACGAATGAACAGACATATCGTGGAAGCAACTTGTGTACAGTGACTCGTGTCATTTTTCCAGACGGAGGTCTTAATCCCTTCCGTGTCAGGCTTTTTTTAACAGCCTGTACTTACACATTAATGAAACAAAAGTTCTTTCATGATCTGTTATTATATTTCTGCACGAAATATACTCTATAAATAAATGTTACATATCTGGATTTGTACATGATATATATATATTATTTCAATAAAACTACAGTAGGCCAGGTGGTTAGGGCGCTCGACTCGCAATCTGCAGGTCGCGGGT